ACTCAGCATCCAAAAACACGTCCAGCAGTGTAGGTCTCATTTCAAATGGCCACTTCGACTTGGGATCCTTCCCTGGTTAGAGAGGTGCGAGTTCGATCCCTGTCGAGGCATTTCCATGCCTTGCAAAAATTGCAAAAGATGGTGTCGGTTCCAGCATCAGGCCCAGGTTAACAGGCCGGCTGATGGAGAAACCAGTCACAACAAATATGCCTAAAGTCTCAAAGAGTATCAGGGATAAAGCTAGGACGTCACCCGGAAGTGGCGCACAGGACCCCCGCCCGAGTTCTGTGGACAGTACGCGAGGGCTACCGAGCAATGAACGAGCTCGGCCAAAGAAGTTAGTTTGAATAGGGTCTCTAAATGTGAGATCGCTTACTGGGAAGTCCCGGAAGGTCGCTGGTCTTATGAAGCGCAGGAACATCCAAGTCCTATGCCTTTAGGAGACCCGCTGGAAGGGAGCAAAGGCCAGAGAAATTGGAAATTGTCGCGAAAGCGAAGAACACGGAAATGGACTCCTTGTATGAGGAACTCGACAGTCGAGAAGGAGAGAAGTTCGTCTCCCGCTCGGCGAAAGCGCGTCACCGCGCCACTCAGGACGTCGGGATAATGAAGTCCATCAGGAGCAGCGAGGGTGCAACCCTGAGGAAGCCTAGCGAGGTCAGGCGCAGGTGGAAGGAATACTTCGACTGGCTCTTGATCGAAGGATACGCCACTAAGAACAGCTCCCAATTAGAGGCAACGGCTTGTTTCATCAATCTCTGGACAGAGAATGAGGTGTGTAGAGCAATAGGAAAGATGAAGGTGGGAAGGCAACTGATCCCGATGGAGTACCGATCGAGGCATGGAAGGCGCTCGGAGAGCACGGGATATAATGGCTTACCCGATTCCTGAACATTGTGACCGCTAAAGGAAGAATCCCAGATGCGTGGAGAAGGAGTGCCATCGTTCCCGTCTTCAAGCAGAAGGGGGACGCGATGGAGTGTTCCAACTACCGGGGGATCAGGTTGTCTGCTCACACGATGAAACTGTGCGAGCGGCTCATCGACTAAAGATTGAGAGAATTGGTCCCAGTTTCACAGAAGCAGTTCGGCTTTATGCCTGAAAGGTCTACAACGGATGCTATATTCATAGCTGCAAGTTATGGAGAAGTATCGAGAAAGTATAGACCCTGCTACCTAGCCTTCCTCGACCTGGAGAAGACTTTCGACCGTCTCCCGCGACAAGTCCTCTAGAAAGCGCTCCGAAAATGAAAGGTTCCAGAACACCTGATC